AGCCAATCTCATGCTCAGTGGGAAAATGTAAAACCATTTCTCCTAAGAACAGGATTAAGACAGGCATGCCCACTTTAACCACTCTTATTTAATATAGTCCTGGAATTCCTACCCATAGTGATTAGACAAGAAGAAAAATACAAGGCACCCAAATTGGAAAGGATGAAGTAAAACCATCATCATTCGCAGATGACATGATATTGTACATAGAAAACCCTAAAGACTCCATCAAAAAACTACTAGATTTAATAAATGAATTCGGCAACTTAAGAAGATACAAAATTAATACCCAGAAATCAATGGCATTTTTATAGACAAATAATGAATTCTCAGAAAGAGAAACAAACAAACAAACAAAACAATCTCATTTACCTTTGCAAGAAAAAAAATAAGATACTTAGGAATTAACCAGGGAGGTAAAATACCTCCCTGTGCATGTCATAGCGAGTGATTGAACTCCCGGTCTCCTGGTCAAACTCAGAAAACTACAGGATATTGAAAAAAGAATTGGAGGAAGATATGAACAAGTGGAATTATATACCTTGCTCATGGATTGGTAGAATCAACATCATTACAATGTCCATATTACCCAAAGCAATCTATAGATTCAGTGCAATCCCTATTAAAACCTCAATGGCATATTTTATATATCTAGAACAAACACCACAAAAATTTATATGTAACCAAAAAAGACCCCAAATAGCTGCAATAATCTTAAGAAAGAAGAACAAAGTTGAAGGAGTCACAATACTAGATATCAAGTTATATACTACAAAGGCATGGCACTCAAAAGAGCCTGGTACTGGCACAAGAACAGGCATGCAGTTCAATGGAACAGAACAGAGAACCTGGAAATCAACTCAAGCCTTTATGCTCAATTAATATTTGACAGAGGAGATAGGAGCATACAATGGAGTAAAGACAGTTTCTTCAATAAATGGTATTGGGAAAATTGGATAGGTACATCCAAAAAAAATGAAATTAGACCACCAACTTATACCATACACAAGAATAAAGTCAAAATGGATAAAAGAGTTAAATGTAACTCAGGAAACCATAAAAATCCTTGAAGAAAACATAAGCAATAAAACCTCAGACATCTCTCATAGCAATGTGTTTACTGACACATCTCCTAGGGCAAAAGAAACAATGGAGAAAATAAACAAATGGGACTACATGAAAATAAAATGCTTCTGCACAGCAGAAGAAATCATCAACAAAATAAAAAGAGAGCTCACTACATGGGAGAACATATTTACAAATGACACATCTGATAAGGCATTAATTTCCAAAATATATAAAGAATGCATACAAGTTAACAAAAGGAAGACAATCCAATTAAAAAATGGGCAAAGGACCTAAATAGACGCTTCTCCAACACAGGCATACAGAAAGGCCAAAGACATGAAAAAAAAATGCTCATAGTCACTAATTATCTGAGAGATACAAATTGAAACAACAAAGAGGTATCACCTCACACCTGTTAGAATGGCTTTCATTAAAAAATCAACAAAAGCCTAATGTTGGTGAAGATGTGGAGAAAAGGGAACTCTGGTACACTGCTGGTGGGAATGCAGACTGGTGCAGCCACTGTGGAAAACAATATGGAGTTTCCTTTAAAAAATTAATAATGGAACTCCCATTTGAACCAGTGATCCCGCTTCTAAGAATATATCCTAAGAAACCAGAAACATCAATCAGAAAGAATATACACGCCCCTATGTTCATAGCAGCTCAATTTACAATAGCTACTAGTAAGATTTGGAAACAGCCCAAGTGCCATCAGCATATGAGTAGTTAAAAAAACGATGGTACATTTACACAATGGAATACTATGCAGCTGTAAAAAAACAGAAAGAACTCTTACCATGTGCAACAGCATGGATGGACCTGGAGAGTACTATGCCAAGTGAAATAAGTCAGAGAAAGACTAGTGTCACATGATCTCACTCATATGTAGAATCTAATGAACAAAATAAACTGACAAATGAAATTGATCCAAAGACATAGAAGCATGGAACAGACTGGTGAATTTCAGAGGGAAGAGGGGATAGAGGGTGGGGTGGAGAGTGATTAGTAGGGAGACTTATATGCATATATGGACACAGACAATAGAGTGGTGAAGGTCTGGGAGGGTCGGGTGCAGGGTGCAGGTGATCAATGGGAAAAACAAACAAACAAAGGGAACATCTGTGAATTTTTCAACAATAAAGAAAAAAAAACATGTACATCCCTCAGTGGATTATCCATTCCAACATTTCTACTGCATATAAAGCCATGTGTTTTTCCTCTGGGGAACCAAGGTGAGGTTCCAGTTCAAATGCAACTTGTAGTGTCTTCTAAGGGCAATGTCTCAATCAAGCTGTTAAAAGCCTAGTAGAAAGAACATGGTAAACTGAGTCCAGCAAGATCCCTGAGCCCTACTACCAGGAGATGACTGTTATTTGTTCCATTTTCATGTTGGGGGAAGAAGGGGCAGCTTCTTTGAACTGTGTTTGTGACCAAGTCAACACAGCCAGTGATGAAGCAGATAAAAGACAATGTTTCAGCTGTTAAAGTTCACAGTACTCTTTTACAATTGGAAAAGCAAAGGTCCCCAAAAGTGTAGCATTTTTTTTCAGCGTGAGCCAGCAAACCAGTAACAGGGGTAGGTTTCTTTGACTAGCATTCTTTCTAATAGTCCTGAGCTGTGATAATGAATATAAATCAGCCTGGCAGTTCCTTTAGCATCTAGAATTCCCAGACTAGACAAGCAGCATATGAGATTAACTGTTAATGCACTTTAAAAATTTTTTTATCTGCATGATGATGGTATTCTTTGCAAACTTGATATTTCATGGGTAAGGACCAATAGGGGGACACAAAGATGTTTCTAAAGCATCAAGACCATTCACAGAGTGTCTGAAAAAAAGTTGACTGTGGCTGATATGTTTTGACCTCTGTGTTCTCTGGACTGACCTCCCCTGCATTGTTTTTGTTTCATTGTTTCTCTTCTTTTGTATTCCCCCTATTCTTTTTTTATCCTTCAGCCTGGGACTTAGGCCTACCCTTTTCAAGTCAATAAAACTGCTAATTATTCATAACATGGGAATGGGAGTGCATAGTGGCCAAGAAGCATACATATTTTTCCCCTGCTATCGTCATTTAGCTCTCTACAATCTCAGACTAGTAACTGTTGCCAATGGCAACTCAATTAATCCTTTCCATCCTTCATTTCTCTCTCATTCTGTTGTTCTGACATTTGCCACTCTTGTCTTTGATTGTTTGTTTTTTGGTTCTAAACCCTTTTCTGATTGGTGCAGCTGTTGAAGATGCTGCAGTCACAGCAGTGTGCATCTGGAACATTTGGCTGACTTGTTGAAACTTCCCCAGGGACTATTCCAGGGAGAAGAGGGGAGGGGTGGAGAGGCCAGAACAGTTGCCTGCAAATATAGATGCCAATATTGTCTGGCCATTCTGCGGACCACCCTTGTAAAAATTCACCTCATTCTGGCACTCAGTTTCCCCATTTGCTCATTGAAGACACATGTTCTCCACTCAAAACTCTTGCTGCGGTGGAAGAAGAGAAGCTATATTGCTTATGGGTTCTCTCATACTGCATTTTCTACATTTTTTAAAAAAATATGTTTTTATTGATTTCAGAGAGATGAAGGAAGAGGGAAACGGGGGAGGGAGGGAAAAAGAGAGAGAGAGAGAGAGAGAGAGAGAGAGAGAGAGAGAGAGAGAGAGAGAGAGAGAGAGAGAGAGAGAGAGAGAGAGAGAGAGAGAGAGAGAGAGAGAGAGAGAGAGAGAGAGAGAAACATCAATGATGAGAGAGAATCCTGCACAGGCTGCTTCCTGCATGCCCACCACTGGGGATCAAGCCAGCAACCTGGGCAAGTGCCCTTAACTGAGAATTGGACCTTGACCACCTGGTTCATATGACGACGCTGAACCATTGAGCCACATCAGTCGGGCAGCACTTTCTACATTTAAAGGGATCAGTGTATATTTGTTGAATTAATTAATGTATCAAGACACCGTTTTACCCTGCACAGGGCAACAGCACTTCATAGGTGGACTTCTTCATCACTTACTTTGAGGCTGCAGACTTACTCCAGGAGTGGGGCTGCCTGTATCCCTCCCCATTCTAACTCCCTTTGGCTCCCTGGCTCCTGAGTTCCTTTTCTTTTGGCGCACTATTGGATTGAAAACACAGCAGGCATGGTTTCATTCCAAACCCAGAACTGTTTTAATTAGTTTAACGTCTGTTAACCGCTTTGAAGATTGAAAGCAACAGATAAGTACTGGATGATGTTATTAGCAACTGCAGTTAATTGCAAACATTTCTATTAATACTACTTTCTGCCTCCTTTTACTTGCTCTACTTTCCAAGGTTCCCAATTTCTTCTCAGCCTCCCCCTTCTCCTCTCCCCTTCCCCCGTACTGGCGCTAAAGGGTTAAATTGGGGCGGAGTCCAGTGATGAACGACAGCAGCAATCACCAACTGGAATGGTGCAAGCAGGAAGAGCTGGGTGGGGCCATCAGGCAGAGACAACTCACACACCCCCAGGCTCCGCCTCAAGGCCGGAGGCCCCGGGTGGAACACAAAGGGGCGGGGCACCCAGGCTTGGCGAGCCCGATGGTTGGACGCCTGGGCAGCTGCTTGAGGGATGGGGCGGGGTTGTCCCGAGCCTCCTCCTTCATTCCATTGGCCGGCCCAGCGGCCCCTCTCTCTCGCCCCTCCTCCTCCTCCCTTTCCCACCCCTCTGAGTGGAGCTGCACATGCGGCTTCTCCCTGCTCCGTCCCGCCCAGCCTCCGTCGCGCAGGAACGGGTCCCTGCAGCCCCCAGCC